CTGATTCCAATCCATTACCATAGTGTTCATTCTAGCCTCTTCCCCTTGCTTATCTATAACCTTCAACACAAGAAGGGTGGCTTCCATCATCCACCATCCATTTAATTGCTCGAGTCCAGTGTATGTGTAGAGTGTATCAGAATCATTACCTATCCCTGCACCCCTCCTCCTGGGAAATAAACCTATCCCCTAGAGCAGTGCTATGTGCAGTTTCTTTTGCCTTTAGTCTTACAAGCTTCACTCATTTCTAAATTTATTTTATTTTAATTTATTTGAAAGATTTTATTTATTTATCTGACAGAGAGAGACACAGCGAGAGAGGGAACACAAGCAGGGGGAGTGGCAGAGGGAGAAGCAGGCTTTCCACTGAGCAGGGAGCCAGATGCGGGGCTTGATCCCAGGACCCTGGGATCCAGACCTGAGCTGAAGGCAGACGCTTAATGACTGAACCACTCAGGTGCCCCTCTAAGTTTATTTTACCTCTCAACTTCATAAAGGTGTTTTATATGTTTTTAATGCAGTTAAAATATTTTGTCCCATTTAGCATTCTTAGAAACCTTTCATTTCCTAAATAATATATATATTTTTAGTTTACATACATTAAAGTTCACTCTTTGTGCTATAAAGTTCTGTGGGTGTTGACAAATGATTTGTGTCACATATCCACCATTTCAGCATCCTGCGGAATAGTTTCGGCCCCCTAAAGTGTTCTACTGCTTCACCTGTTCAACCTTCCCTCCTCCCCTCAATCTGTGTCTACCACTGGTTCTTTTTTTTTTTTTTTTAACTCATCACTAGTTTTTTGGTTTTTTGTTTTTTTTTCTTTTCTAGTATGTCCTATAATTGGAGTCATATAGTACACAGCCTTTTGAGATTGGCTTCATTCACTTAAAAACATAAGTTTTAGGGGCGCCTGGGTGGCTCAGTTGGTTAAGCGACTGCCTTCGGCTCAGGTCATGATCCTGGAGTCCCGGGATCGAGTCCCGCATCGGGCTCCCTGCTCGGCAGGGAGTCTGCTTCTCCCTCTGACCCTCCTCCCTCTCATGCTCTCTGTCTCTCATTCTCTGTCTCTCAAATAAATAAATAAAATCTTTAAAAAAAAAAAAAAAAGAAACATACGTTTTAGGTTCATCCATAGCTTTTCCTGGTTTGTGAGGTCATTTCTTTTCATGGCCAAATAATATTCCTTTGTATGTGTACACCCCAGCTTGTTTATCCATTCACCCCTTATAGGGGGCATCTTGGTTGTTTTAGCCACTATGCATAAAGCTTCAATAAACATTCATGTGCAGGTTTGGGTGGGTAAATACCTAGGAATACAGTTGCTGGGTTGTATGGTAATACCGTGTTTAGCTTTGTAAGAAAGTGCCAAACTGTCCTCCTAAGTAACTGTACTCTTTTGCATGCCCACTGGCAATGAATGAGAGAGCACCTTGTCCTTCACATCCTCACCATCAATTGGCATATTGTTTCTTTTGATTTTAGTTATTCTAATAGATATGTTTTAATTTGCAATTCCCTAATGACAAATGATATAGAACATTTTTTTTCCTTTGGTTATTTGCCATCTTTATAACTTCTTCTGCCCATTTTTTAATTGGATTTTCTTATTGTTGAGTTTTAAAAGTTCTTTGTATATTTTGGACACAGGTGTTTTTTATCAGATACATGTTTTACAGATATTCTCTCCTTTTCTGTGATTTGTCTCTTTCTCTCTGAACAGTGTCCTTTTCAGAGGAGAAGTCTTTAATTTTAAGAAAGTTCAGCTTACCAATTTTTATTTCATGGATTATGCTTTTCATATTGTATCTAAAAACTCATCATCAAACCCAAGTCACACTGATTTCTTGATTTCTTCTGAATTTTCTTCTATAAGTTTTATATTTTATGTTAGGTCTAAAATCCATTTTGAGTTAATTTTTGTGAAAGATGTGTCCCATTCTTTTCTCTTTTTTTTTCTTTTGTGGCATATGAATATCTATTTGTTTGAGCACTATTTGTTTAAAAGACTTCTTCACTGAATTGTCTTTGCTCCTTTGTCAGTAGTCACTTGACTACAGTTCTGTGGATCACTTTCAGGTCTGTTTCTTTTGTTCCACTGTTCTGTGTGTCTATTTTTTCCATCAGTACTTACTACCTTGATTATTGTAGCTTTATAGTAAGTCTTGAAATCAGATTACTGTGAGACATCCAAAATTTAGTTCTTCAGTATTGTGTTATCTGTTCTGGGTCTTCTGTGCCTTTCTCTATATTCTCCAGAATATGTTTGTCAGTCTACAGAGTAGCTCTCGGGGATTTTGATTGGGATTATATTGAGTATAAATGTCAAGATGGGAAGAATTGGCAACTGAACAGTATTGACTGCAACAATCATTAAGCATGAGGTATTTCTCCTTTGATTTATTTCATCAGAGTTTTATGGTTTTCTACAGAGAATAGTTGTACATATTTTGTTAGATTTGTACCAAAACATTTCATTTCTTTTGTTGCTTTAATAGATGTTATTATTTTGTATTTTTTAAAAAAAATTTATTATGTATTTTTTTAAAGACTTTATTTTTTTAGAGCAATTTTAGGTCCACAGCAAAATTGAGAGGAAGGTACAGAGTTTTCCCAGAGGCGCCTTGCCCCCACACATACATAGGAAAATATGAAACACTTCATAAATTGGTATGTCATCCTTGAGCAGGGACTATACTAATCTTCTCTGTATTGTTCCAATTTTAGTATATATCTGGCCCAAACAAATACTGTTAAATTATGTTTTAATTTCAAATTTTAGTTGTTCATTGCTGGTATATGGTATATATTGTTGAGTTATTAACTTTGTATTCTGAGACCTTGTTTTTGTGCAGTAAGCTCTAGGAGTTTTTGTTTGCTTGTTTGCCTGCTTTGTTTTATTTTGTGATGATTCGGAATTTTTATATAGAAATGATGTCACATAAATAAAATTTTATTTCTTCTTCCACAATCTTACACAATCTTATTCCCTTTTCTTACTGAATTAGGACTTCCAGTAAAATTTGAGTAGGAGTAGTAAGAGTGGCCATCCTTGCCTTATTCCCAATCATAAGGGAAAAGCATTCAGTTTCCCTCACCATTCAGTATGATAGCAATTACAGGTTTTTGTAGATTTTTGTTTCAACTTGAGGAAATTTTCCTCTATTCCTACTTTGCTGAGAATTTTTATCATGAATGATGTTGCATTTTGTTAGATGATTTTTCTGCTCTTTATGATTGCATGATTTTTTTTTTAAGCCTTGTTGATATGGTAGATCACATTGATATGCTAGTGTTGAATCAGCCTTACATACCTGGAATAAATCCCACTTGTTCATGGTATATAACTTTTTAATATATCGTTGGATTTAATTTGCCACTATTTTTGAGGAATTGTGCACCTTTGTTCTTGAAAAGATATGGATTTATAGTTTTTGTTTTTTTCATTTCATAATGTCTTTAATGGTTTTGGTTATTAGGAGGCCTCATCCTTTTTCCCCTTTGGATGACATGTCTCTTCATGGGGAGGTCAGATATCAGCTAGGCCAGTCCCTTGGCATCTCCCCTAGACTAATATATGAAAGAATTCAGCAGTGAAATCATCTGGGCTTGGTGCTTTTTGTTTTGTTTTGTTTTGTTTTGTTTTGTTTAAATAGAGGGATGGGGAAGGGCAGAGTGAGAGGGAGAACCTTAAGCAGGCTCCACACCCAGTGCAGATCCTGATGTGGAGCTTGATCTCAAAACCCTGAGATCATAACCTGAGCCAGAATCAAGAGTCAGATACTTAACTGACTGAGCCACCCAGGTACCCTGGTGCTTTCTTTTTTGAAAGGTTATTACTTTTTCATTGAAGTTCTTTAATAGACATAACTTTTTTCAGATTACTTAATTCCCCATTTGTGGGATTTGGTCATTTGTATATTTCAAGGAATTAGTACAGTTCATCTAAGTTAACAAATCTGTGGGCCTAGAGTTGTTCATAATCTTCCTTTAATGCCCTTGAGGTCAGTAGTGATGACCTCAATTTCATTTCTGATATTTTTTTTGTGTGTTTAGCATTTCTAGAGGTTTATCAATTTTATTGATCCTTTCAAAGAAACAGCTTTTGGTTTTGTTAATTTTCTCTGTTAAGTTTTTAGCTATGTATTTGCTATCCCAATCAAACTAAAGAAGGAGATAGGAGATATGTAGGCAGCCACATTATCTGTGACAGTTCTCCTTATTTGGGGGACGTTGTCTGTGGGAGGTGGATCAGGCCAAATCTTTATTCTGTGGTGTAGCCTCATTTTTCTGTCTTCATTTCTTCATAGGCATTGCACGTTTTTTCAAGATTTTGCTTATGTTGAGCTATTCTTTATACAGTTTCCTTCTTCCTTCCTCTCTGACTTGAAATCTCATATTTTATGTTAGAGATGCATAAGTATGTTGAGTTCTACTTCAGAAAATACCTGTGTTTATTTAACTTAAGAATGGTATTTTAAATTACTGTGTGTTCAGTACATTATTTGGGAAGGTACGTTTTATTTTCTCTTTCACGGAACTCTGATGTATACTTTGGTCTTTGCTGGCGGTGTGTTCTCAGTTTGAAGATCTCTCTAGCCTCAGTTTCCTTATCCATAGACAAGCAGAATATAGCCCACTTCATAGTGTAGGCATGAAGGTTGGATGTGACCCTGGCCTGGCATCACAGAGAAATCCTCAGTAGATGCAGCCTTCCCACATGTCAAAGCTTCCTACTCTGTATCTTAGCCAGAAATTGAGTCTTGGGGTTTCTTTGATGTTACAATATTTATCACTGCTGGATAAGCTGCTTAAATGACTTAACTTCCTTTTGGTATGTAGTTGTTTCTCATTTGCTTTAGTTTTCACTTTGCATATGGTTTCCTTATTTCTTTTTACAGTAATATGGAACGTTGATTTTCCTGAGGTATAAATGCATGTGAACCATGGAATGGTAGAGAATATGGTGACTATTGCTAACTTGCCCCTCTTGCTTGCAGGGGAAGGGGAGGAGTCACAGCCCGGCCAGTTGGAGTTGGTGTACCACGAGGGACGCCAGCTTCCAGGGGAGTCCTTTCCACCCGAGGGCCAGTGAGTCGGGGAAGAGGACTTCTCACTCCCAGAGCAAGAGGAGTTCCCCCAACTGGGTACAGACCTCCGCCACCACCCCCAACACAAGAGACCTATGGAGATTATGTAAGTTAAGGGGTCACACGACCACTATGCTGATCTAATTGAGCCAGTCCACACATAGCATTGGATGTTATAACCCACCCTTACTTGCTGTAGTTCTCGGATATTCTACCTTAGTTCAGCAAACATTTATTGGGTGCTAAATAAGACATGATACTGGAAGTGTAAAAAATGAGAAAGAAATAGCCTCTTTTGTCAAGTAGCTTACATCTATGATAGGTAAGGTGAAGTTGGGTGGTGGGGAGGTTCGAGCCCAGGATCAGGGAGACATGTTATCAGACTCTTATAGGTTTTAATGTAACATTCATTCATGTTCCACTCCAGGTTGCCTCTGAGTAATTCAGTCATTTAAAAAAGAATCACCTACATATACCAAGTTGTTTTTTACCCTGAGGTATTTCCTCTTAAGTGCTGTTGTTGAATATGGATTCTTAGTTGAAATGTTTTTCAGTGAAGAAAAACGAAAGTTCCCAATTTTTTATATTAATGCAAATCAGTCAGTGTTTCCATTTACCATTCAATAATTCTTTGATATGGTTCATAGAGTTACTGAACATAAGAGAAAGAAAATATATCCATGGAAACTGGGTAGAGGGGAAGGGCAGAGGAGTTCTTCAACAAGAATACAAGCCCCCTGGGATTCTTCCTATGACTTCCAAGTTTAACATAAATAAAGAAAATAAGTGGTGGATAGATGTTTCATGTTAGTGATTGAAAGTCTTAAAGAAATAGTACGTGAACTATTGTCAAAGAGAAACAGTGACGGGTGATGGGGCTGAAACAAGAACGGATGGGCTTTCATGTCTTATGTCAGGGAGATCTCTTGCTGGGTGCTGGGTGCCTCTCTGCATAGTGTCTGGAAGGCTGCATTCATTCTCTGGGCCACAGACAACATCTTTAGCTTCATCAGCAGCCACTGGAAAGATGAAAGTCTTTGTCCTGGACGTAGTGAACTTTGTGTCATTCCCTGGGTATGCTATGTCCTCTCAGACTTCCAGACCTTTGTTCGTGCTGCTCTCTCAGCTTGGAATCTCATACTTCCCATTTGTCCTTGTACACCTAGGTCAGCTATCCCTAGGGAAAGTCAGAGGTGGTAGGAGCTGCTGTACCGAGCATTACTGCTGAGTCACATGTCTCTCTCCCACCTACACTGGGACTTCTGGAGAGGCCAAGATGGTTAGCTTCTGTCTCTCTGTGACTGGCGGAGAATGGGTCCTGAGAACTCAGTGAATTTAACAAATCAGTCCCACAATACTTTCACCATTTTGCTATTCAGCTGGGGAAGGATGTGACCTCTATCTCTTCTCCTTGTTTTTCTCACAGTTTGACATGTTCCTATGTCCTAATATTTCTACCAAACGGACAATAATAATCGTGCCTCAAGCTCTTCCACAAATGTGGAGTCTCTTGAACATAACAGACAGTGTCTGTGGTTTCCCACCTGGGCTTATGTGGAGTTCTCTCAGGTTTGGATTAATGTAGGTCTGGTTAGATGGCGTTGCCGTAACCATCAGGCAGAGGGTGTGGAAAACCTGGATCCTCGGCTCCACTGCACCATGAGTATGGTATGAGTCAAGCAAAGTGCTTGTCCGGCTTCACAGTCACATTTCAGAAAGAGCTGTTGCCTTCTCTCCATACATTAATTCACCTTTCCACTCAGATGGATTGAATTCCCACTGTGTGAACAAGACACACGTGTCCTCTGTCTCTAGGTGTACACTCTAGTGAATCTAGAATGAAATTAGATGAATACAGATAAACATTTCTTGAAAGGTTCAGGTCCAGGGGAGAAAAGGCATTAAAACAATTGATTTGAAAAGTATTCTGTTGAGTTAATTTACTCCCCTTTCCACTGACTACCATGGATAATGCGACAGTGGCCATGTGGAAGAGTACGTGTGTCCTTTCAGGAGCAGACAGGGTTCAAGGGCTTCAAGGACAAAGGGAGCCTTCACACTCACCTGGTGCTCCTCCAGGCACTAAAACGGTCACTACGGCTAGAGTTGAGGAATGGCGGCCTCTTCCTGCCACACCAGAGCCTTCAAGTAACCAACGGCCATGTTTGCCGTCCTCATTTGAATTTATCTGGAGTGCAGCATTGGTAATTTTGTCATACACCTCTTGCACATGTGACTGCTTTCTGAGTGTGCTCTGTGTGGTAGAGGTGGACCCACACACACAAAGGAAGGATGGCTGACTCTTGAACAACACGGGTTCCAACTGCATGGGCCCGCCCATATGTGGATTTTTCTGATAACAACTGTATAGTACTATAAATGTATTTTGTGTTCCTTATGATTTTCTTAACATTTTTGCTCTGGGTTACTTTATTATAAGAGTACAGTATGTAATACATACAACATACGAAACATGGGTTAATCAACTATTTATGTTACTGGTAAGGCTTCTGGTTAGCAACAGCCTATTTACTGGTAGTTAGGTTTTGGGGGTAGTCAAATGTTATACGCAGATTTTCACCTGCACGGGAATCAGTGTTCCTAACCCTGCATTGTTCAAGGGTCAACTGCACTGCCGTGAGTACACCCTCTTCCCCAAGTTGAATTACTGTCATGAAGAGTTTGGATTCTGTGCTCTGCCTTTCCCTCTTGATTTGTATCTGTTACTCCTGGAAACACTTATGGAAGTTAATAGCCAAGAAGAAGGATTTTCCCCATTTCGCCTAGCATTTTGCAAGCCTTCTACACTGTTACAGTGAAAGCTTCAGTAGCTGAACACTGTACGTAGCAAACAATGTTGGGAGCTGGTGTGAGGAGGAGACACAGTCCCCTCACCTCTGCAGCTCGCCTCAGTAGCTCTGCCTCTCAGGTGTGCTCTTTTGACCTCTTCTTTGTTTCCTGACCCAACTTGAATTCATTTTTTTACTTCTAGCCCTTCTAAACATAGCTTTGCTGTGTCTGGCATATTCCCAGACATTGGCCATTGGTCCTAACTGTTTGAAATCCTGAAGATTATTCACACAACATGCTTAGCTTTGGAGCATGGGAAGGAGAAAACACCCAAACTTAAAAGAAAATTAAAAAATGTGTTTGTAGAACTTTAGAAGAGGTGGGTATACTAAATGGTATCTAACTTAGGAAGCCTGAGATCCTATAACCCCCCAAAATAGTTATTCATTCATGTGGCAAGTGAGAAAGTTGAAGTTGATCTTTAAAATAATTATCCCGGGGCGCCTGAGTGGCTCAGTCATTAAGTGTCTGCCTTAGGCTCAGGTCATGATCCCGGGGTCCTGGGATCGAGCCCCGCATCGGGCTCCCTGCTCTGTGGGAAGCCTGCTTCTCCCTCTCCCACTCCCCCTGCTTGTGTTCCCTCTCTCGCTGTGTCTCTCTCTGTCAAATAAATAAATAAAAAATCTTTGAAAAAAAAAAAATTATCCCATTGAATTGGAATGATCATAAAGTAGCTTCTAAACTCCTTGAGAGTATGGGTCCCTCACTTGACATTCACTTTTATATTCCCAGTGCCTAGTATAATATCTGGTACATAGGAGGTCTTTAATAAATGTTTGCTGAATGAGTGAATGAATGAATGATTGTTCTCAAGACTGAGTTTTAAGGGATGCCTGGGTGGCCTTGGTTAAGCGTCTGCCTTTGGCTCAGGTCATGGTGCCCGGGTCCTGGGATTGGGTCCTGCATTAGTCTTGCTCAGCCGGGAGCCTGCTTCTCCCTCTGCCTACCACTCCCCCTGCTTGTGCTCTCTCTCTCTCTCTGACAAATAAATGAAATAAAATAAAAAGACTGAGTTTTTAAAAAAATTTACATGTGTGGAGAACCCACCCAGATGCCTTTTGTGTGGTTTTCATTTTTCGTCATTTAGCAATTTATATATAACTTCATTATTAGCATATAGCTGTATAGTGCAATCATTAGTATACATCTGTTTCAGCAGATTATAAACTTCTAGGGAAAAACACCGTGTCTCTAGCCCGTAGCATAGTGTCTGGCACATTATATCCACTTAGTAAATCTTTACTGGATTGGGGACCCGATAAGTTTTCCTAATGAAGGCTACCATTGATCTTTTCTAAGTCATTACTGTAACCATCTGGTGGGAAGCAGTGTGACAGTTGGCATTTGAAAAAACATGTTGCCTTAGTTATCCTCGTCTTCTGGTGCTCAAAGGGCAGTTACAGGTTACAAAGAGATAAGACTAATTCTGTGTAGCTCCTGAAAGTAGTAGAGTAACATAAACCTCATCTCAGTATAAGAATGAACTTTCCAGAACGATGTAATATTTAATGAGAAACTACTCTCTACAAGGCACTTTCATATATGTTATGTCATGTTCTTCTCAGAGCCATTCAGTGAGATGTTATGAGCCTATTGTACAAATGAGAATTTAAGGTTGCGGAAGTTAAGTGTCTTGCCTAAAGTCACATAGCTGATAAAGAAGGAGCAGATGCGGAGTTCAGTGTTCAGTTCTATCTCGAATGTTCTATCTCGAATGTTCTATCTCGAACAGTCAGTGCTTTATTAAAAACTGTACTCTAGTAGCTGAGATTATAGGCTCTTCTCCTCTTTGGAGAAAAACGCAGCAGGTACCTTATCTTGCCTCCTCTGGACTGTGGGCAGGGTGACAGGAGATTGTGTTAGATGACCCCTGTGGCCTGGCCATGTAATTAGCTGCTCGTGTTAAGCTACCTTAAGTAGATAAATGGAAATTGAGAAAAATTAGGAAAAACAAGATGGGGTTAGGATTTTTTAAAATAATAAATGACAATATTGTATTTATTAGCAAAAAGAGAAAGAGCTTTTTCTTTAAGAGTTTCAGAGCATCTGTAACTCTTAAAAAAGACTTGTCATTCCTTTGGAACTCAGAAATGTGATTTTTAAAGATCCACCTTGAAATGCATTCATAGTATATATGTTTTATTTCTATGAACTTGTTTGGTTCTGTCTAACCAATTCAATTTGCTTTTCATTTTAAGTTCCATTTAACATTTATTATCTGAGGACATTATTTCCAGAATAAAAGACAAAAATTGT